CACACACACACACACACACACACACACACACACACACACACACACACACACAGAGGGTTGGTGCGAGTAGAGTCGACCGTTTTTCTCTCCCCAGGGTACAGCTAACTCTGGGCGACGTGGTACAGTCTGGCACAGTCATGCCTCTTTTTATGGAGGTGTGTATGGCGACCATGACAACACACACACACACACACACACACACACACACACGCACACACAGAGAGATCGGCAAAGGGGAAATTATTGAAGGATTGGTAGTTGAAAAAGGAAGAGACGTTCATGCAAGTCCGGCGGTGATTGGTGCACGTACCAATCGGAGCGTGACCTGTGCCTGGTACACAGACGAAACTAGCTTGAGCTTCTGCAGCAGATGGAGGAGGTTGTTTCGCCTCACATAGTGCGCCTGGATTTGTCTGGCGGACTCAATCAGATCGCCGTCCAATAGCTCAACAACCGTGCGGAGAGACTTGATCTGCCCACACGCTAGTACCATCTTCCCGTTTAGGTCTTCAAGCTGACCGAGGGCTTCGAAGAAGGAGTCAGAGCGCGCCGAAATCTCCTTCACTAGTTGAGCCTCAACCAGATCAAGGTAGTGAGATAGCTTCTCTTGCAGCATCAGATTGGCGGGGAGAGAGGCGACCGGGCAAGCCGCCTGGAAAACGGACGGGTTTTCAAGAGCGAAATCCTCATCGAAGTACAAGGGAGGTATTTCTCTCAAGCACACAACAAGTCCCTCTCCCTGAAGCTTTTCCTTCTCCTTTCTCGTCCCTCCTCCTCCTCCTCCTCCCCCTCCTACTCCACCTCCTCCACCTCCCGCTCCCGCTCCAACACTGGTCGCCGGCGAAGCCGTCATCGCCCCCTTCGATCTTTTACTGCTACCATGCGCCGCCTTCTCTCCTTCTGCCCCACCTTCACCTTGTCCTCCTACCTCCCTTCCTCCTCCTCCTCCTCCTTCCCCTCCTGCTGCGGCTGCCGCTTCTTGTTCCGAGGCTAGCAAATGGTCGCGGACCTCAAGGAAACGGCCGTACTTGTCGGAAATGGCCGACAAATAGGCGTCGAAATCGGAGCGGGAGATTTCCGCCAGCGTCCCGGGGGGAACAGGCGGAATGGTGTCCGCCAACGCGCCTTCCCCCGCGCCCGCTCCGCCGAACCAGGCGCTCCATGACGCATTTAGATCGATTGCCCCGCCCTTGCCATGATGAGGGTTGTTCAGTACAGAGGCAAGCGATTGCCCTGCACTCAACTCAGCCGCGCTCACTTCGAAACGAAGAGACGAACTCCGAAAACTTAGCGGCGATAGCGTGAATGGAGACGATGACGACAACGCCGTCGCAGAAGATAACGGTGGCGATGCCGCGCTGTCCATCTCTCTCTCTCTCTCTCTCTCTCTCTCTCTCTCTCTCTCTCTCTCTCTCTCTCTCTCTCTCTCTCTCTCTCTCTCTC